TTTTTTCACACATCTGTTTCATATTTGAAAATTTTACTTGAAAAAGACGTTAAAGGTAATCTAACAACTAATCTTTATGAGAAACGTGATGACTTTAACTTTAATTAAGATCGTCAACGTCCCTTGCTTATGCGGCCATATACAGAGTTTATATATCTCAGTTGATTCGATAAACAAAAGCATGCTCTACATATGAAAAGTCTAAAATGAGGTTAATCATTGACACACAAGTTGATGAAACAAGAAAATCAGCAGTCCCTTTTAAAGTCATCATTTCGTTAGTTCTACGGTCGATACTGCAATGAACTTGTCAGCAAATACAATTTATTAATGAGTCAAATGCTGCCTGACGTTTTTCATCCTAATTGTTATTCCATTATTTATACATTTTAATTGAAAACGGATTTTCCCGTCATTTCACTATTATGACTAGAAGCACACGGTGGGTGTGACCGGTCGTCAGGGATGGCACCTGACCCCACCTCCGATGGTTTAAAATATGTCTAAATAATTATTGTAATTTTATAAAATAAATGATACTTATTCAAAATGATTTTTAATTTTCTAATTAGATTTAGAAAACAAAAATTCTTCAAGTAAGAAAAAATGATGATCCGATAATAGAATCAAAATTTAAATAAATGCCGCATAACATTCTAAAGTGCTTATACGTGTATTTTTCATGGAAATATCTAGTTTTGATTCATGAGACAGAATTTATATTATTTAAACTTTTTCTGGAAGATCCCTTATATAACTGATTAATTTCGTTTCTTAATTAATTGTCAAAACCGCAGGATATTTCAGCTTTTGAAAGGCATCATTTTAAAATCATTTTTAAAGTTTTCACCTTTGGGAGAGACTTTTACCGTTTGCAATAAATTTCTTTAGCTCACCTGAGCCGAAGGCTCTAGTGAGCTTTTCTGATCAAAATGTGTCCGTTGTCTGTCGTCGTTGTTGTCGTTAACTTTTCACATTTTCATCTTCTTCTCATGATCAAGAACCACCGGGCCAATTTCAAGCAAACTTGCCACAAAGTATTCATAGGTATAGGGGATTCAAATTTGTTCAAATGAAGGGCCAGGCCCTCTTCCAAGGGGAGATAATTATGAATTAGTGAAAAATTAATGGCAATTTTAAAAAAATCTTCTACTCAAGAACCACTGGGCCAGGAAAGATGACAATCATGTGGAATCATTCTCAGGTAGTGAAAATTCAAGTGTGTTCAAATCATCACCCCGGAGGTAGGTTGGGGCCACAATGGCCGATCAAAGTTTTACATAGGACTATATAGAAAAAATCTTTAAAAATCCTCTTCTCAGGAACACAGGGCCAGGATGAAAATCATGTGGAACCAATCTCAGGTAGTGAAAATTCAAGTTTGTACAATTCATGACCCGGGGGGTAGGGTGGGGCCACAATGGCCGATCAAAGTTTTACATAGGATTATATAAGAAAACTCTTTAAAAATCTTCTTCTCAAGAACCACTGGGCCAGGAAAGATGATAATCATGTGGAATCATTCTCAGGTAGTGAAAATTCAAGTTTGTTCAAATCATCACCCCGGGGGTAGGGTGGGCCCACAATAGGAGATCCAAGTTTTACATTAAAATTTACCGGTATCAAAAAAAATCTTCTTCTCAAGACTTACAAGTCATGATTAATACTAGTATTTATATAGAAGCATTCTCAGGTAGTGTAGAATTAACTTTTTGTTCATATCAAAACCTACTAAGGTAGGGTGGGTCACAATAGTGGATCAAAGTTTTACATAGAAAAGTAAAGGGAATAATCCCAAGAACAGAAAAGCTATGTTTATATCATATTGACATGTAAGCATCCTCATGTCTTGAAGATTTGTTCAAATCACGGCCCTTTGGGGTAGGGAAGGAAACAATGGGGAATCAAATTCATACTATTACGAAGCAATATATAGGAAGAAAATGTTTTTAGAAATTCCTTTTTATCAAGAACAGCAATGTCATATGCTGTATTAATATGACAGCTTCTCAAGTATTGTTAAAATTCACCCCCCCCTCAGTTATCCATCCAATTTTGATTTGATTTGTGCTTTTTTTCCTAGCCGATTTGCTCAGGTGAGCGATGTGGCCCCTGTGCCTCTTGTTGTTATTTTTTTTTAAACTTGTAAACATTATCCAAATAGGATATATAGGGACCCTAACCTCCTTTGAAAAAAAAATCCTGCATCTGCGCATTCGACCTACTTGTATTACAGAATTTTTTTTATAGATATTTTTAAAATATGCTCTTGTGGATTGGAATTATGCTCTGCACCGACTCTATATCTTCATATTTTTTAAACAATTTTGTTGGATTTTATGATATATAGAGCGTAACACCATGCACCAGGAAGTAGATTTCGTTTCGAATGCAACAAATTAACAACTGTAGTATAATTGCTATATTGAAAGAAAAATCATGCACATGTATGTTCATTTATTGAGGACATAGTTTAGACATAATAGCTGTAAAACATGTCTGTAAGCTATTTTGTCTAAACCATCATATCATATGCAAATCAAGTTTTACTGATAATCAAAATACTGAATCCAAGAGGCTAACTTTTATGAACCGTCTGACCAGTTAATTTATTTAACAGAGGAGTTATGAAATACTGGTTTAAATCACCTGCCTTACACAGTTACATGTCGCAGGACAGCCGTAGAGGAGGGCAGGTATTTTTATGTGTCGCAGGACAGCCGTAGAGGAGGGCAGGTATTTATGTGTTTATATGGTAGCTTAACTAATTTATCTTTTTAAATGAATACTCTACAAACTATAGTTGTTTGGAGTCCTGTCATTTTCTTGGATTGTCAACCATGACAAACTCTTTGAAACTTATTATCTTTGGTAAACTTTTTTTTATTAGACACATGTTTCCTAAAATATACCTCAGTACTACTTCATCATAATTGCATGGTTTGTTTGTGATAATTGTTTTTTTTTATTCGAGAGAATAACATTTTTTAAAGAATTATCCATTTCATCCCATATTTTCATTAGAGCCTAGTCCTTAATTCTCGAATATTAAATTGGGGTCGTAAATTTCTCGATTTCGGCAGTGGAGTCAAATCTTGTTAAGCCAACAGGAATGCTAGGTGTCAAGGAGATAAGGGACCAAGCAAAATCACATTGATGGGACCAGTACAAAACAAAATCCTCATTCAAAAGTAAGTACGTGTCCTATGGCAGTCGTGTTTTAAAAAAAAAAAGTAATGCCCCATGGTATTATATTGACGTTAGTGAGAAAAAAAGGAACAAAACTACGGAGTCTTTCAAATTAAAGATATTTTAAACATCGGTGAAAGTTTTTTTTTAAATATAATTCTTTTTATCAATGCTTGTCCATTTGTAACATTTTCCATTAATTTGAAGATTTATGTTGCCATTTGTATCCTTCGTTTGAGTAAAAAGATATGGCTTTTTAAAATATTTCTTAAAAGAAAAATATCTTTAAATATTATAATAATGAATCTTTCTCTTTTGGTTGAGTACAAAAACTCACTGAACAAAAAGTATGTGTCCCATTGGTACTTGAATTTATGCTTTTTTTGTCCGATGCTTTTCTTTGATGAAAAAACCCATTGTCCCATGCCCGCTGGTACCATGACCATCACTGTGATAAATTGCGCCTGGTACCTAGAAAGAAATTTTTATTACTAGACTAATTTTTATTGTTTTAGTCCAAACCCTCTTGTACCAAGAGGTAGTTACCATAAAATGTAAAAAAGTTTTTGCTTTCTTCATCTATTAATGCTTGACATATATCCTAAGACGTTGAAAATGTTCAGAAGTTAACATCCGGCACACGGCACACAACGACAGCAAAAATGAATAGCAATAGGGTTACCTAGTGATTCGGGTTACCTCAAAACTTTGCATGAAAGAAAAGAAGAAAAAATAAACCATATTGATTGCATAGTAAATAATTGTCACAATGAGCGCATGTGTGGCCTGCTTTAAGGCAGCATAAAAGGTGGAGATAAATTTAAAACTGCTGAGCTATAGTCATATATTAGAGAAGAAAGGGAGAGAGAGGGGTGGGAGGTATTGACAATTCCACCATGTAGTCTATGTTGTAAGATATAAGATTTAGTCATTCAACTGAGAGAATGAGATATTTTTAATTATCAATTTTCACTGTGTTATTATTACAGACTGAAGTTTATTTTGGGGCCATGATTTTCACAATTAATTTTGGCAGTGAACTTATATTTTATTGTGATTGTAATCAAGCCAACAGTTTCACTGCTTGGTTTACAGGAGATCAAAAGAAATTTCTTAAGGATACATGTAGGACTAATTTCGATTGTTTTAGTCCGTTTTAGCGAGGATGGGGAGAGGGGCAGTTACCGTTCAATTTACAATTTTTATACCTGTCTTCTATAAATGCTTTACACGTATGCCAAATTTGATGAAAATTATAAATAAGTGATTCAAGACATGAAGATGAAAATGTTCAGAAGTTAACAACCGACTCACCGCGCACGACTACAGACAAAATGGACAGCAAAAGTTCTTTGTGAAAACTTTTGTGATTGGAACCCTTTTCCGTACCATAACTGGATGGTTCCATATGTAGCGGTAAAGAGTTGTTTTCGGTGAATTCAATGAATTGTTTTCGACCAAATAAATGTAGGGGCGGTAATGATCGGTCGAAAATTTGAAGTTAAAAATGTAACCGAAATGAGTCTTAATTTTTGGAGATGTAGCGGTAATGTTGAAATTCCAACTGAATAATTTGCATGAAAGAAATAAAAAAAAATTAATCATATTGTTAGCATAGTAAATAAAATGTTCAATGTGTACAGTGTAGCCTGATTTATAGCAGCATAAAAGGTGGAGATTTTAAAACGTAGTAATTCACTACAGAGAGAAAGAGGTATTGGCAGTAACACCCCATCTATGTTGTAAAGTTTTAGGATATACAGGTACATGTAAGATGTCGCCTCTCAATCTAGACTTTATTTTTAGATTCTTTTGTTGGAGAAGGATGGCCCGAAACAAGGCGCTTATAGCCGACTTATTCTCGTCTGCATTAGGTTTAGTTTTCTGTTGTATTGCCACTGTAACACCTGGCTTCTTCATTAATCAGGTAATCTATATCTTTTATGAAATATTACAATTTAGAGTGAATACATCTCTGTTTTGCAGAGTTGAGAAGATACAGACTTTTTCACATAAATTCTTTTGTAGGAAAGAAGGGAGAGCATCTTTTATTGTCATTATAAGGAATATGGATCGGATTCATGGTCAACAAATACTTATGTAGCCTATGATAAGGAGCACGATACGAATGGATACAGTCAGCTCTGTAAATTAATATCTCTCTCTTCTTTCTTTCTTCTTCCTCTTATATTAGTTTCGTCGATGTGTATTCAAAATAAAATAAACACGCTTATTTGATATGTTTGAGGAGCTTCGATTTTCGCAGCACTCAAAATTGGTACCATATCGTTCTTATCGTATCACAGATAATTGAATGTAAAAAAAATCTAAGTTGAGGAAAGAAAAATAAATTGTTTCTTTTTCAGCAATGTTAGGTTTGCAGTTGGAAAGCCTTATAACTGTTGTCCTTGGTGGATTCGGTTGGTTGATCCTTTTGTCGAATATCATGAAAAAAGCGCCAATTCCATCGATGTTTTTGACTGGGGGAATATTTCTACTAGTGGCAGGTATATATATGACAAGCCAATTTGCTATTTTTTTCTGAAAACAAAATTTATCTTAACATTACAGAGATATCTCTCATTTCAGAGAGATACATGTATCTATTAAAAAATAAAGATATCACCCAACTGAAAGAGATACATGTATATCTTATTTTAAAGAGATATCTCTATGATGAAGAGATATCTTTTAAACTTAGGGGATATCTCTTTTCGTGAAAAGACATCTCTGAGCGTTAAAGAGATATCTCTTTCGTCTAGAGAGATATCGCTTTTACTTTTAAAGATATCTTTGCAAGTTAAAAAGAAATCTCTTAAAGTAAAAAACAAGGAAATATTTCTGTTAGTTTATCTCAGAGATATCTCTCAAAGTGAAAGAGGTATCTTTCAAAAGTGTCTAAAAGAGATATCTCTCAAGCAAAAAGAGATATCTTTTTAGTGCAAAGACATATCTCTCTTCAATATTTTTTATTGAAATTCCATTTAAAATGACTTCTCCCTTCACAGAAGTACATTAAAGTCTTTTTAAATTTCGACTTTTCATATTATACTTCTTTATAACTTTACTAAACATGACAAGTGATTCAGTGTTGTCTAGATTTCAAATTAGTTAAAGTTTATTATTTTATCAACTGAAAACATTCGGTCCATTGCATTTGATATATTATGCTTACTTTCGTTTTCCTGAATATTAAATTTTTATCATTTTTATCATTTATGCCGTTATTATTTGTTGTTTCAAACATAGGATTTATAGCATTTTAGTCTGAATAATTCATTTATATTTCTCTGGATATTTCATGCTCAGTCTGTTTTCTTATAACAGCGAAACTATTCCATAGACTTTGCTTCCTGTTTCGCTTTCATTTTAAAGGGTAGAATTAATTATTTTTTTATGGATCACTAGAAAGGAGATATCTCTTTCATTACAAAAACATATATCTTTAGCTTAGAAAGATATCTCTTTTTAAATATCTAAAGAGATATCTCTCTATCAAATGAAGAAATCTCTTTTAACATTGTTAAAGAGAATTTCTCTAACTTTAAGATATCCCTTTCGCTTAAAGAGATATCTCTCTAGCTTAGAAAGATATCTCTCTAAGTAAAAGAGATATCTTTTGTTTAAAGAGATATCTCTCTAAGATATAAAGATGTCTCTATTAGTCAACGAGATATCTCTATAAGCTAAAGAGACATCTCTCCATGCTAGAGAGATATCTCTCTTATTTAGAGAAAAAAAATTATTATATGAATAAATAGTGAAAGGGTTGCTATAGGTAACATTGCTTTGTCTTTCTGCTGGTGTGTCTAAACTCCACGTGCTTTCATAAAGTGTCGCATGAACTTAAAAATGCAACTTTCTTAAAGGGGCATGGACACAGTTTCAGCTAAAAATTTTCAAATAATTTTTTCCCCATTTTTACAAATATTTCATTAAGGTCATTATAACAATCATAAAAAAATTGAACTTCAGTTGTCGACATATTAAGAGCTCTAAACATTATTATGTAAACATGGTCCGTGTCATATTTTTTACATAGGTTTATATACAAAAATATGTTCCTTCAAAGCAGGTTATATCAATAAAAAAGGTTATTTCTTAAATGGATTACTAGACGGTTTCAAGTGATTTGCTAAATTTCGTTTTGTTATAAATAGGATTTCTTTATGTTAAAAAAATAATAATGATAAGGCTCGTGCCTTGTTTCCATTATGAAGAACTTTAAGTTCTGTATCTTGTTTGTTAATCAACAAATGATGTTCAAAATTTTGCTAGTTATTAAATGATGCCTTAGTTGGAAATTGTAAACATTAAAATTGGTTTTAAAAGTTCAGTTGAAACTGTGTTCCTGTCCCTTTAAAGTCAAAGACATAGAAATATGATCATAAAGATTTGGACAAAAATTCTGATCAAAACAAAAAACATATTTTCTCTGATTAGGTTAGGATGAAATGTCTTGAATCGGATTGCTAACATTATTTATATTTCATTTTTTACATTTTCAGCAGTGTCAGAGTTTGCAGTCCTGGTTATATGTATATCTGTTAATCTTAGAGAAATTGCTTATGTATCAAACCCCAGAAATAGTCACTATAACTTAGAAGATTTGAGCGTCGAGGTTCCGTACTCCCTTATTCTTGCTGGCTTTGGTATCATTTTAATTCTAATTGCTGTGGTGAGGATTTTTATTCGCAATAAGAGATACCAATTAAGCACCGAAATTCATCATGAAATGTCATTTGAACCGAGGAGTAACATCAGGGAATTCATCATCGTTTCTCAGCACCTGAGGGGTGAAGACGAGAGATGCATCACAGAAGACAGGGTTTAAGGATAAATAACAAAAAAAAATATTTTTCAGAAATTAGCAACATTTTGCATAGATTAATATTCAAATAGGTACATGTAACCTAGGTTAACTAAGTCATATTTTCTAGGAAAGAGAGAGAATTTGGTAATATTTTGTCACAATGACAAAATATGCGCAAAATTTGGTATAGAATTACACAGAAAACGATACAAGGTCGCATATCAATGCACTAAAGAAAACTTATGATTTCTTTAGACATGTAGTTTTGGTATTTATTATTATTTAATTTTTATTCAGAATCAGTCAAAAATTTAGACCGATCCATGCATCAATTTTTTACTTGTGTTATTATCCTTAAAGCTAAGCGTCAAACATCACTTTAATATATAAAGTTCTACCTTTAAAAAAGAATTTCCCACGGTGGGATTCGAACCCGCGACGTTAGGATCAACTCTATACTTTGCGGCTCTAGAGCAGACGCTTAACCACTGCACCACAAGGAATAAAAAAGAAAATATTCAGTGGACGTAAATATATTTATATCACTATACATGTACATGTATCATCGATCAATTTATCACAGTACCATGTTTCACTTATAATTATGTTTGGCAATCACATCTCGAGGCATTGACTTTTTGATGTGCCATATTTTTGCTATATACTTCATGTTTTTATTTTTTTTGCATATTTTGTTTTAAATTGAGGGGATCAGCATATTGATCTGTATTGTGTCAATACTTTTTGGTCTGATCCCCTATCATGGTATGTGTATTATTTTCTTCTTATTTTAGCATTTTTATTACTATATTTCATCTCCACATTGGAGTTGATTTCATTGTTTATTTATCAGCAAAACGCTGCATTTCATTTCCGGAAATATGCATAGCATATATTTCCGACATTTTTTTTTTATTTCCGTATTTTACCTGTGCGGCATTTCAATGTTTTCTAAGTAACAAAAAATAGAATTTGAAAACTATTTATACCAAAATATTAATATAACAGATAATAAAAAACATCATATATGCATATATGAAGTACTAAGTCTGGGTAAAAAAGCATAAAACTTTTTCTCCACATTTAAAGTGCACTAAATTAAATGTCAGTGACAGCACCATACTTATTTCCAAGTCACTGATAGATTTACAAAATTGGATTTCAATGATTTAAATATCATTTATTCCTTTAAATTTTTCATAAGTATTTTCTCAAATCTGTTATTATAGGTACTACATATATATTTGAAAAATGTCGGAAATGAAAACAAACAAATTTCGGAAATGAAAACAAAAAGAAAGTCGGAAATGAAAAGTTGATAATTACCAAAAATTCCGAAAATGAAATGCAGCCCAGCAAACATAGAGTTGTCGTGAAATTGTGTTGCTTAAGAAAACTTAAAGATCAGTAAAGTGATGCAAGATTTAGTGGGTTTTTAAAATATTTTTACAGCATATTTTTTTCAAATGATTGTTTATTTGAGTCCAATAAATTTTCAACCAAACGTACAGTGTTTCCTTTTAAACAATCTTGTTTCGAGTTGTTAGTTTGAAGGTTCACCCGAATAAATTGTTTGTTGTAGAAAATTATATCGACGAGGGGTGATCAAAAACCTCGCGAATTAATTGACTAACTACCTTAAAACAATTATATTAGGTTTCAGCATTCATTCCGTAAGTAATTTTATGCACAACTGCGATGGTTCTGTCCATGCGCGAATTACTGGCCCGGGCAGTCACGTGACATGATCCGTAGCATTCATTTCACTTCCGAGTCTTATATTTCTTACCATGCAAGTTATCTTCGTAATAGCGGAGCCCACTCTTTGTGATGAAGTTTTCTCTTCATATGATCTTACTGACTGAGAACAGAACCCCAGACAATCATATGAATGAATCAAAAATAAACTCCGCCTATTGTAGTATCATAACAATGTCATGCTTGAATTTACCGCTCCGTGTTCACATCGAACCCAATTCTCATGAAAATCAATCGAACACGCGGCGTTGCTTAAAAATGGACGTACAACCCAGTCAGGGAAGCATGGATTTTAAAGACGATTTTGATATACTGGGAAATTGGGATGGGGAAGATGTTTAACCCACTCAATTAATGAATATCCCTATTCAGATTCTATTTAATGTGAAAAAACGGCCGGTTTTCTGCCCTCCTTAGTGCGTCGGACATCGCGGAAAAGAAGCTAAATGCCGTGCCATTAAAAACGAGACAAAATAAATCATGGGCGATAAAATTGTGGAAAGATTGGGCCAAAAATAGAAACCTGCAAGTATTAACTCACTTGGAAGGCAATCCCATGCCAGAGAATCCAAAGGATTTATCGCATGATGTGCTTGATGTTTGGCTCCAATGGTTTATTATAGGCGCAAAAATGGAGACCCCTATCCCCCAATACACTAACTCAAACTGCTTCAGCAATACAGATATATCTAAGAAATAAATGTGAAAAGGTAGATATTTGATTTTTTTAAGGAGAATAACCCTGTATTTGCAGGTTTTCGGAAAGTTCATGTCATTAACAGAGTCATCGCTCAAATGACATACAAAAATATCAATCTTTCCTATCTTGAAAAAAATAAGCAACACCCTCACTCCCCCTGAGCCCAAAATCGAAAATACTGGATTGACCCGACGTTCAGAAAAGGATGTAAATGAAGATGATTGCGTCTTTTTATCTGTGCTCATTATTCAGAAAGGTGACAAAAGTTACTGTAGAAATTTAAATTCAGGGATTTAAAAACATGACCTAAAAACCAAATATCTGCTCTTTGATTGTTTGTGTCTTAATTTTGTTTGTTTCTTTTTTCAAGTAAATCAATGAAGAAATGTTCATTTTATTTATTTTCTTCTTATCATATGTTTTTCGTGGGAAATTAAGGCAAAAAGGACACACCCATATATCTAAGTGAGTCAATCAAACACCGCTAAATATTTCAAAAATAGAAAACTTTTTCACCATGAAGAAACGATTCTTTGCGAGTATTTGAAGCAATTGATTGGCTGAAAAAAGTGGGATATATATGTTCTTATACAAAGAAGATCGGTCTAATTTGTCAAAATTGAGCTAATCGTAGAAAAAGGATCGCCAGAGAAGGATATCTTATCCCAGAGAAAGCATGGTGACCACTACAAATCGAGTCCTTCTGTCATTTATCCAATATGGATATAGAATGGTACAGATGTAGCTTTGTTTTTTAATGATATATATGTTTAAACTCTAAATTAAACAATATTTTAGGGATTTATTAATTATGCTATCGTTAAAATATTCAATTATTTTCTAGCTTTAAGGTATCCGATCCATTTTAGCGTCAGATTCAATGGAATTGAATGTATAATAGATATGTATTGGCTGAATACTTAGTGTAGTTAGAACTAATTTTCATCTTTGGGTATACGAATGTAAGAGTGCAATATATCCTAATTCATGACCTTTTCCTGCCCTTGACGAATTATCTTCCTTTGATTTGACTCAATAAAATAATTTAGAAAAATTCTGTCTGGTAAAAAAATTATTTCTAATTGTTTTTTTTATTCTTTTCTCAATGATCTAGTACATTTTTTCCATCACAGAATTTTTTTTACATTTGAAGTATTTATATTTTTATTTTTTAAAAAACTAACTTCTTTTTATAGACTTCAATGCAATCTTCAATAATTAATTTCTGCTCAGGTAAATAAATTTTTGAAAATTTCTCTTGCTAAATCCCTTTCTACTCTAAAATGCTTTAAAATAATATCAGGATTTTTTTTTACAAACAATTGATATTTAAGGTTAGAAATTTTGGTCCTTAACTTGGCGATCTTTTTTAATAAATTGTACAACTATGGACATCTCTTCTCTGACTTTCTTTCACAAGGCAACAGAACAAATCTCATTTTTCATCATCCCTCTTCCTTTACTAAAACAGTCTATCCAATTAATGCTTAAACTTCTGGGAAGTCTTTTGTCTTCATAAAGCTTGAAAAAATTACTATATGCTATGCAAAGGAAACTCCAAGTTTAATTTTAAAATTTACACCGTCGTAGGAGCGTGTTTTCTTTTTTCACAAGTCGCCAAATGACTCTGTTAATGACATGCTGGATGACCTCCCTCCAAACAATAATGTCAACGACTACGGACCATTATATGGAAATGCATCCTTTGGTATAAACTTTTGCAACAGGTCGTTCAGTATCTACAAATATTGTAAAATCTAAAAATTGCGCCTATATAAGAGATAAGACAATGACTAGAGACAGGTTTGTATTTGAAAATGAAAGTTTACTGAAATTGGAAGTTAAGCTTTATAACAATGATTGTATTGTTTTCAATAAACAGTTTTTTTTTTAAAATGGCAGGGCCTATTTGGAATATCACAACTGTAAATCAATCTTTCAAAAAATGTGAAAGAATTAAAACATTAAATACCGTCAATCTATTTCTCTAATGAACTAGCTACCATGAGATGAAATTCTAATGTGGGGGCAAACACATTGTTCCCTATTTGCCTATCGCTAGAGTCTGAATCAAGCCAAGTGTCTGGCGTAAAACACTTGGTAGACATCTCACAGGACAACATATTCATTGGAGATTCATCAGGCGAAGCAGAACAATATTTTTAACAGAGTCTGACACATCTGTTTCATACTTGGATATTTTACTTGAAAAAAAAAGTTAATGGTAATCTAACAACCAAGCTCTATGATAAACGTAATGACTTTAACTTTTCTATTGTCAACTTTCCTTACTTGTGCAGCAATATACCTTCATCACCTGCATACGGAGTTTATAGATCTCAGTTGATTCGATACGCAAGTGCATGATCCATGTATGAACAATTTCTAAAACGAGCTGAATTTTTGACAAACAAGTTGATGAAACACGTATATCAGCAGTCTCGTTTAAAATCATCATTTCGTAAGTTCTTTGGTCGATACAATGACCTAGTCAGCAAATACAATTCATTATTGAGTCGAATGCTGATTGACGTTTTTGATATTGAATATAATTTTTAGTCCATTATTTATACACTTAATTGACGAAGATTTTTCCGTTATTTCTCGATCATGACAAGGTGCACACGTTGGGGTGTGACCAGTCGGCAGGGGATGGTCACTCCTCCATGGCACCACCTGATTTAACCTCTAATGTTTAGGAGGTCCGTGTTTGCTATGCTCCTATTTTGTATTGTTTTATGGACTTTGATATTGAATACTGTTTGTTATCTCCATATCCTTCTTTCCATTCACTATCGTCTCCCCGCTCTACCAACTGGGCATTGATTTTAACAATTTATAATCTACATTACCCCTAAGATGATTCCACATTAGTTTCCGCTTTAATGGCCTTGAGGTTTTTGAGAAGATTTTAAGAATTATAGAATTTATCGATTTAAAGAATTTTCCTATATATTTCAATGTAAAACTTGGATTCCCTTTTGTGTCCAAGGGCCATGATTATAACAATTTAGAATCCACACTACCCCCAGAATGCTTCCACATACGTTTTAGCTTTTATGGCCCAGTGGTTCTTATGAAAAAGATTTTTTAATGATCCCACCCTATTTTGTCTTTTCTTGATTATCTTCTCTTCGAAGGCGACATGGCCCTTCATTTGAACAATTTAAATTCCCCTACACCCAAGGATTGGCCCAATAAAATTGGGCCATTGGTTCTTGAGAATTAAACAAGTTTAAAATGTGAAAAGTTAACACACGGACGGACTACGGACAACAGGTAATCAGAAAATCTCACTTGATGTGAATTAAAGCTGTTGCTTTTGATGATTCAAAAATAAACATATGCACGTCCTCGTAGCAATCCTCAATGTTCTTGGTAAAATTATAAAATTCAAGCAAGTTATTACCACAGCCTTCAAAAAACTACAAATTGTTTACAAATTCTTTTAGGAAGTTAGGGTGAACTGGAAAAATGATAAGGAGTAAAATAATCTTCCATTTACTTATCAATTTTAATAGTTGTATTTTTTAACTAAAAACATTGCAAAGAAGATATATAGTATCATGAATTGTATTTACCAAGTAAATATCTATCGATTAGTTCGTGCTATTACCGTAATTAAATCTAAAGTATGTCAATAGTCGAAGTATTTCTAATAGAATTTTAAATTGGGGTTTTAAACATTTCCGATGAACTGATAGAATGTAGACGAGACCATGGACATAAATATTTTGAACGTTTTTGAAAATAAATTATTTTTCAAGTATTAATAATTATACTGCTACAGCTGTATCTATCCTATTGGATGATTATGAATGAAGCACTCTATAAATACGTCTTGTCAAATGATTGTTTTGTTTCCTCATTTTTTTTTCTATCCCCTTCTCACTTGAAGAGATTGTCCTTTTTAAAATAAACATAAAATTTTAAACAACACATATCACATTATTTAAAAAGGTATGTTTATTTATGTACATTTTGTAATCATTAGTTATTAGTGATTAAATTAATTTCAATCCTGTTGCAATACTTTTCAACTTTACATACATTTAAAGTGTATGGAAACTTTATTTTAATTTTATTTCGTACTTGTTAAACATGAAAATGTTGACTTATCTTTCAAACACATCCTTAATAATGCTTGTAGTTTTCTCTCATTTATTTTGTAATTTTATATATCTAGACGTATTTCCGGGATGTTTTACTTTCTTTTCAATTTGTACCATCAGAAAAATTTAAGTACATTAATTTTTCCTTATTGCTTGCTAAAATAGGTTAATTCTATTGAAAAAGGTTTAGATTCTTATGAAATAAACTGTCAAATATAACCAATCATACAGCTGAGTCTTCATCCTGTAATACAGATACATGTAAAAGAAAAGTTTTAATTATAGCTTCAATCTTAAGAATTCAAAAAAAGAAGTAATTGCAGAAAAATTTAAGACGCGATTAATTTTTTTTTGATAGACAGAGAAACAATTCAGCAATTGGAGTTTTGAAAAAGTTTAGTGAGATAAAGATGCATCTTAGCAGGGATTAAGCCGATTTTCTGACTAGTGCTTATTTAAAAAAAAAAGTATCAATATTTCCAGAAACGATCGGAATGGCAATTACTAGGCAGCTAATTATCAATTTGACTACGTCTGCAGTGGGTATCTTTCTTTGCCTTGTTGCCTTGGTAACTCCTGGATGGGGTTCCATTCCGGTAATACAATGATTTTAATTGAAGTAAATTATGTTAAGATATCCAGGACCCTATGTTTTTTTAATTAACTTTAGAAGATAAGTGATTTTCTCCACATTCCACATGTTTTATAAATTTTCACTACCCCTGAAGCTAATTTAAAGCTTATTCTCCTTGACAGGAACTCTTTTCAATCAGCATTTTTTACGTATGCTTTACAAAGTCTGGAGAATGCTCTGCAACAGAAATTTACGATGGCGATGTACCTTTATACCTAAGTACGTACAACCGTAAATCTCTCTCTCTCTCTCTCTCTCTCTCTCTGCATTACCTTGTCTTTTGATAATTTATATAGTTTTCATGTGATAATTTGACATCTAAGAATAGCTTTTCAGAGAAAGAACACAAAAAAAACATTAAATAACATTGAAACTTTGAAACTTTAAAGAGAGTCAATTTGAAGAAAATATTCGCTTTTTTGATGTTCGAGTTTTTTTTTTCCAGTTTTGATAGACGTACAACTAGGCGGTGTTTTAGCGATCGTACTTGGTGTAGTCGGTTGGTTGGCTCTTTTGGTGTATGCCATTTCCAACGAGTCATCTGCCTCTTCGCCTGTTACAAGCGGCATAATACTGCTTGTTGCATGTAAGAGTAATTCATTTTAAAACTTAAAGGCTCAGCAATTTTTATCTTTTTTTTTAAACTGACTGTAAAACTTACTATAATTAAAAAATTATTTTACAGCGACATTTGAATCTGTTCTGCTGGTGAAATTCGTTGTTTTCAATATAATGGTTTTCAAAGAACTATACAAAAGCGTCCAGTTTATACTTCCTTACTCCATAATCATTTCCATATTTGGTTTATTCTTAATTATGTTTACGGTCGTGAGGATTTTCATTGGTAACAGACAAAGGGAGAACAATCATTTGAGGACAGATAATTCGCTGGTCATCACCACTGAAACTTACAGTCAACTAGAATTGCACAGGATTTAAGGGTATACTAGTATACGAATTGCCGCAGTGAGCCTTTTTATGAAGTAGCTCAACTCTTAATTTTATCCCTTTATAACAAAGATTTTTCATACCTTTACAGGCAGTGTTATTTGTCGTATCGTACGCTGCTTCAGTTTTTTTGTAGAATCAATGCAAGACCATGTTGCTATATTGTTACATATACATGTATCATACCATCAATAAAATCATCCGTTTTTGCTTAATGAGTTTCATACATATATAGACATGAGTGTCACAAAATTCGAATTTTCAGAATGATGAAGAGGTTTAAGATTTTAATATTTCAGTTTAAATTTCTTAATTTTAAAAGCTCAGACTGATTTCTTTTAAAAAATATTTCAGCATAAAAAATCCTCATTTTGTGACTTCCAAACTCTTTTTAAAGTTTCAAATTTTCAGATTTGAAATTGAATATTCAAAATTAAAATTCCCGAAATCGGTTTTTGTATTTTAAACTTTTGAGTTTATAACTGTCTTTTGTTCAGAAAATTTACGTTTAACAATTTAATAGCCATTCTCTGTAACCACTTAAACTTCGTTGCCACGCATGGTCACCGATTTTGATGAAATTTCACCCATGCTTAGTACTTGACACCAGAAACAAATTAAATATCAAACAAAATTTCGTTGCTATTTGTCTCGGTTGCTATGGCAACAGCCGAAAAAGTTTGAAAAATCGAGATTTTAAACCACTTTAAATCTTGACTGTGGCTTAATAAAATCCAGAAAAAGCAAACAACTACAGTGTATTCTCATAAAAGCATGACACCTTGATGTCACTTATACTGTAAAGAAACTGTTTAGAATATATCTCTAAGAGTGGTAGCCAAGTGTATATTTGGAATACATTTAAAATGCTGAAATATGATGAAAAACACTCCGTATTCACTAATGGTAGATGTTACATGCTCAAACTCAATCAACGACTTAAGAAAAACAATGAAAATGTTTGACCTTAAGTATATAAGTATAAGCAATATTATTCTATAAATAACTTTTATGGTTGTCTTGGTAACACAGTGTAACCATGGAAAACCAGTAACAAAGATTGTGTTAATGCTACTGTCTTGAGGAAAAGCATGAAAATTCAATACTGGCAAATATGCATCCTTAGGACCTTGCAACACCAAAACCATAAGAAAAATTGGGTATAATTGCTACTTTGCAATGTTACCATGGAAACAAAGTACCAGTGCTTAAAAGTGAATTAATTTTCACTGCATTAAGAATTAAATTGCCATTTAATCAAGAAACAAATTAAAGGACTCAGCTTGAATAGTACTGTTATAACTGAAGTTGAATATCATATATTGATAAAATTAGTTGAATAAAACAACACTGTTGCTATGGTTACCAAGAAGGGAAAATGTTCGATTTTGTGAATTTTATGTCAATATTAAACCCAGTGTGCCAACTTCTTGCATCCACTTAGAGATTGGATGATAGTCAAAATTAAAAGTCAAATTAGCTGTTAATAAAAATCAATCATAAAAGTTTTGGGAATCTACATTTAAGGGTACGTATCCAAGGAAAGAAAATATTTTTCAGATTTTTAAGCATATATTTTCTGCTTATTTCCATAGCAACGCTCCATCTAAAGAATCTAATCTGAAATTTTTTCAAATAGGAAAACTTGCAGCACACCAACATCTGATAAAATTGACCATTACTTATGAGGAAATGTGCTTTTTTAGAAGATAGTATCAGATTTAAACATACAGAGTGTTACTTTGAAGGCTCTCTATGGTATAAAAATCTTGGCAACCATTGCCAACCAAAATGAAATATCATATTTTGTTCTTGGTATATGTTTCAAGGCTCTTTTTTTCTATTATCTGGTCATATTTCATCCTAAAAGTGCTTTTTATTTTTACGTGTATGACTTTATAAAATTCAATAAATATTTTTTTTACTTTTGAATACTTTGTTACTATAGTAACGTATGTAATAGTTGATTTACCAAATATGTTTACCATGCATTTGAGACATCTGACCTTCAACTTTTAGAAACAATCATTGACAATTATTTGCTTTGCCGCAAATGTTAACTATGGAGCTCTAAACATGTTAAAAAATGCCATTTTTCGAACTTTAAGACATGTTGCCATGTAACTATAAAACATAGCAACCAGTTTTTTGCCTGATTTCAGTTTAGGGTATCAATGACTTTTATCATAGAGAGTTTGGAGAAATTCTAAGATAATGCGTGCCACAGCTCCAAGATAAAATTTCAAATCATTACAGAGAATGGCTCTTAAAAATATCAATTCAAATTCCAGGAATCGATTGAAAACATAACTAGACATTGATCATAGAAGTGAAAATGGCGCTTGTCAATTCTTCTCTATAACTTCAATTAAGGTGAATTCTCACATTTCACCACGCGATCGGAGGATTGAGAGTTCAAACTACGACAGCGACTAACTTAAGTCGCTAAAATAGACAGCAATTCCTCCGTAGTCAAGCATTTGGCACATTGAATAGAAAAAATCAGGGTCCTTCGGATGAAACAATACCCCTCACTGCTCAGTAGCTCTGAATACAGTATATTTAAATTAAAAGCCCTTCATTGGTATATGGCGACATGTGTACATGAGAGAAAAATGCTCGAATTTGACATAAAACAACATAAAATCAATCAATCAATTTTACGAACGCTCAAAAGCACATTCTACATTATCATATCAGAATCCCATGGGAAAGACCGAAAAAAATAATGATTGGGAGAATGGTAATTTTCTATTTCAATTTTATTCTTTAAAATATACATAAATTATTAATTTGATTTTAAACATATTTTAGTGAAACACAATTAATGGGATTGCACACAAGTTATTCCAACTTACATTGTCCTGTTGATGAAATGGGATATAAAAAATAAGTAAGAACCCAGAGAAAAGTATCGGCATGCAAAGACCGCTGCACCACACAGGGTCAAAGTTGAATACCATGTAAATATTGTGACAGTGTAAACAAAACTATTTCATTTTTTTTTCTTCCTTGACTTCTGCACCTCCCAGAGACATGGATGTGTGATTATTATTCTAAATATTTTATTTTCTTCCTGGACATTTGCACCTTCCAGAGTCATGGATGTGTGAATATTATTCTTGCATTGCAAGTTTTTATTATTTGACCTTGACTTCTGCATCTCCAGGGGTCAAGGTCACCTGATATGTTGATGTTGTACTGAAATCGTTGTTGAACCGAAATGTTGTTGAACTGAAATGTTGTTTTTGTTGCTGGGCCTACCCATTGGTTTGGTTTGAACATATTTTATTGTTTTGATGTTATAACAAAAGGATTGGACACAAGTTCTTAAAAACTTAGAACGTCCTCTCCTCGCCTACCCGTTGCTTTGGAGGCCCGAAATGATATGTTGTTATATTATTCAGCCGTGCCCAAAAGCGCCAAATAAATAAAAACCCATAAAATGTTTTCGATTTATTGCGTCTGTCCAAGATACTAGTAATACTTTCTATAGATTATAAAAAAATGAATTTCAAAAATTCAATTTGAATGCAAAGACTTTTTATTTACTTAACTGTAATAGAACAACTGATTAAGGAATCAACTTGTATCACAAAATGGGGAAAATTGATCAATATTATCATCATTAGTGAATATAACCGATAATGACCAAACGATGTAGTCTTATTTTGATGAACTAGAAAATGATAACGTGAAAAATAAAATAAATATTTTTTTCACTTCTTATCAATTTTAATAGTTGTACTTACGTAGGAAAACGAAGCGACAAAATATTCGTGCGACCAAATATTTTCTTTATGATCGTAAACTGTTGCCAAAAGAATCGCATAATAATGAAAGAAGTGTTAGTACGAAATTCGCACGATCTAAAGCGACTGTTGTGCATTAAATCTTGCGATATATCTTGCGTCTATATCCTACTGTTGTAGAATGAAAGCGACTGTTGTACTTAGATAATGCGATAGGATTGCACGACTGATCAGGTAATCGGACGATTGAACGTGCGACAACACGACTGCTCGTGCGCTCATGCATTCTATAGTACGAATGTTCGTGCGAGTCTGAGGGCCGGGTATATATACCACCCGTTTCCAACGCTCTTCAGTTGACATAGTTAAGAAACTTATAATTATACACGGTATAATATATACCTGTTGCAAAGCATGGCAATTGAGGGTGATAAATCAAGCAATGATAGTAAAACGTTGCAAGATTACATGAGACATGTTGAGCAACAGTCTCATGGTCGCAAAAAACACGCAAAAACAGTTGCGATTCATCTTACGATCTTTAAAAATCGTGCATCACTCTTACGAGTACATAAAATGTAAGACGTTCGTACTAATTTTCGTGCGTTGAATTGCGATAATTTGGATCGCATTTGGTCGCGTCTGAATAGTGTGCATGTTGGCTATTTTGAGGAGACTTGATGCGACCACTTAAGCACATGCAATGAATGCGAGACATCGTGCAACGTATGCGATAGCTCGTGCGAAGCTAAAAATTTCCCATCGCAAAGTGTTGTAAAGTGCTCGTGCGCCAATTGTGAAAGGACCTTTAAGTCTTTTGCTATTGATAAAAATGAAATTTTGTTTGATCTAAAATTTTGACTTTGAATCTAAACATAGGAACTTCTAAAAAAACAAGATGTGTTTGTGAATCACTGATGCCCCCGTATGGCAACATAGCAAAGATTAAACTTTTCTGAAATGCAAATTTAATGGTACCAAAAGTAGGGTATTCTCACTGGAAAACAATTGTGAAATTTGAAAGTAGGCCAGTGTTAATTTTTTTTCAATCAGTGCAAAATCTCCAAGGTCAAGGTCAAAGGGTCAAGGTAATTGGTATCCAATGAAAGATCTTGCCACATAGAATACTTATGTAGAATATGGAAGCCTTATTCCTAACCGTTCAGAAGTTATGGCCAATGTTACAATTTTTTTAAATAGGTCAAACTCTAAGGTCAAGGTCAAAGGGTCAAATTTATTGTTAGCAAATGAAAGGTCTTGTCACAAGGATGAAATATGTAAAGTATGAGAGCACTAGCTTTGACCCTTTAAAATTTATGGTCAAGGTTTGCTTTTTTTAAAGAGGTCAAACTCAAAGGTCAAGGTCAAAGGGTAAAAGTACTTGGTATTCAATGAAGGGTCTGCTCACAAGGATTACATATATAAAGT